TCATTAGTCAAAGTGCATAAGCGATGTATAACAGTTTCTTAGCCGTTAATATTGAAGGAATATCAGAAAAGATCAACAAAATTGAAACTGTCATGGCTTTACTGGAGACAAAGGAAATTGAGGTTCATGCCCATCTAGAGCATATTGGATGGTAATTGAAAAAATGCAATTTAGCCATACTAGTTATATAGAGGAAGCAGATAAGGAGATGCATCTTAAACAAAAATGGATAGAAGAAGATAGTATCAGAGCACGTCACCACAGTCCGTTTTATCAACTTTATATTTTGATTGCCTCAGGAGAGACTAATGAAAGACCAGAGTTTGTCCCAACAAATGAAAAATGGAATTAAGTTCTATGTTAGAGTTTGTTTGTTATGAGTCGTTGTTTAATGTGTTATGTGTTAAGTGTTAACTGCTGTTTTTGGAGTGAGAACTAAGTGTTATATGTATTTGTACTTGTTCGTGAATGAATGCAGATGTTTGTTTTTTGTGAAAATTTGTCTTATTTTTAGCCTCGAATTGAATTAGTTATAGTGGAGAATTTTGAGAAAAAGAGGAGTTAAGGGAGAGGAAAATAGTCATTTAAGTGTTATGAGATCATTTAGGGGTGGTATACTTAGGCTTATAGTGCATTTTACTTAAGTTCAAAAATATCAAAAATCGTGCACTGGCGCCTAAGCACCACATTCTCACGCTTAAGCGCGATGTAACTCGAGAGGCAGACACCTAAGCGTCACTTATCCTTGCTTAAGCGTCGATTCACGAAAACCGGTTCGTGGTTGATTAAAAGTGAAAAATAAACCCAAAAATTGTCATTTTTACTCTCATCGTCACCTTCAACCTCTCGAGTTTGCTATTTGAAAGTCTAGGGCAATCTATTTTGTGGAGATTTCTTGGTGGAATTGAGCAAAATTTGCTAGAATTGGATTTTGCTAGATTTGGATTTCTTGAGGTAAGAGCTTCACTTCTATGTAAAAATTTTGGATTTTCACCATGTATTTTGAGTACATTTGGAAGAATTCAAAAATCACTATTCATGGTGAAAAATGAGGAAAAATCTATAGAAATTGCATATAAATTGTAGTTTATACTTATATGAGTTGCGTTTAGTGCATTAGACTTGATTTTTGAAGTTATTGTGAAATTTTATGATATTTGTAGAATGACAGCAAGAATGAAGAGGAGCAAAGGAAAATGCCACTTTGATTCAAGCAAATTTGTGAGTTTTAAAGCTCAAGATAGGTACAGTGATGCTCTGCAATCACGAAAACTTATCTAGGAGCGATGTTTCAAGAGTCCAGGTGGATCCGTAGAATTCCTATACTTATTACTGATTCATGATAAGGAAAAAAATATTTTCATATCAAGTGTTTTTCTTTTACATAAACTCAAGTTTTCTTTAGAGGTTTTACTGTTTTGTCAAAATATAAAAAAAATACCAAAAAGAATTGAATTTTACTTTTTACGAAAATATCTATAGTTTAAGTAATTGTCTTCTTAAAATAGAAAGTTTTTTCATATTGTATATTTCCCTGTGGGTTTGATATTCAAGTCTTAATAAAAAAGTCCTATATTACTTGATAACGATACGTATACTTGCATAATATCCCAATATCTATATATATAAATTAAAAAGTTAAATTCTTATTTTCTTTAGGATCAAGTTTTTGGTTCTGTTGCAAAGTAAGATAACATAAGTGAAAAAGATCATTAAAGTCATTGTTATACTGTGCACATAAGCAGTAACGGGATCAGTTAGTTACAACTTATACTAGTATGAAGGTTAAAGGTCACACAACTCAAGTAAATCCTTCAATGGTAGAAGTCATTAAGCTATTGTGCAACACTCATTATCTTTGAGGACATGCATTATATTTAATTTTCACAAAACTCCTAGAAGACCCAACAAAGTGGGATACTTTTATAACAATGGTGTTGGATCAGAGGATACATTACATCGATTATTATTTTTTTAATAATCATACAACTTTAACTTTTTACTTGTTGTAATAATCTGTAATTTGCTTATGCTTGTATTCAGTTGAACATCTATTTGAACAAATTTTATTTGTATATTAATTTATCTATTTGTGGCATGCTCAAATATACTTGTTTTTTTATTATATTGCAATATTTCACTTCATTCCCAATTATCATTCTCATATAATTAGCTGTCTTTTTCATCCATTAATGATTTGTTTTATATTTTTAACATACATGAAATTTTTTGATGGATTCAACAAATGATGATGAAGTAGTTGAGACAGTACAACAAACAAAAATTTTGGCAACTACAATATGTCTCTTCACTGATACTGCCAAACTTAATTGTGTAAGATCCCATGCATGACATCCTCCTCTATAGGTGACAAATGGATTAGTGAGTTTCTTGAAATTCATCTGATAGAATTCATATCATGCTTTGAATGTTCACACAAAATTTTAGTGATTTGTTTGATGAATTATAAGATATTCATGATTTGCATCAATCATCCAGTTTTATACATAAGGAAGCATTAGTTGCTTTGTACATATTGTCATATAATGAGTCAATGTGTGCCACTTCGAAGCAATTTCAACACTCAACTGAGACTATTAATAGATATTTCAATGTTTGGCTAGATTTGTTGGTAAAATTGTCATCCAAAATACACAAACCACTAAATCTTACTTTTAGGCGAACACCAAGAGAAATACATAACTATTTCAAATACATGTCATTCTTAAGGTACACAATATAATTTTTTTTATTTGATATTCATGTTTTACTAAAAATAAATTACTATTTAAACATTTCAAATAGAACTACTTAGGAGCTAATGATGGTATATTGGTCTTTGTGGATCTCCAACACAAAATATATTAGAAGTCTATGAATTCAACATATGTTTCATCTTCTAACTGGCTGAATGTGGGCAGTGCCCATAATAGTTGCATGCTCAAATTTGAATTCAAAGACGTGAATACAAATTCCCAATATCACATTTCAGTTAATACAATATTGAAGTTCTGAAAAATCTGATTTGATGTGATGTCCTAATACTGATAATATCCAAGAAAATATTACTTTTTTTATTCTAGATATCCCATGCAATACAATTTCTTAAAGCATTTTCTGATACGAAGTGCCACATTCTTGATTTCGAATGCAACAACCAAGTGGTTATAAATGAGAATGATTTATTTAACAGGCAATACTCATCATTATAGAGTATAATTGAGAAGCATTCAATGTATGAAAAAACTAATGAGTCATACCCCAAGATATGCCAACATGTTCCATCAAAAAACAAGTAAAAATAGTTAGAGTAACTGCAACATTACATAATTTAGTTTGCAAACATTCATCACGAGACAATGTGGACTTCAAGCTCTTAGATCAAGAGCTTACGTGCATACCTGTTGAAGCTTTCCAATATCGTACGAAACTATCAATAATAGAGAAAATTTTGGAAGTTAATCATTTTGAGACACCTGATGGTGTTGGTGATAATGAGATGATTCTATTAATGGAATAAATCATAGATGTTTTAGTTTAGAAGTAAAACATGTACATAATTTAGTCGAAGGTTAAAAGCTTATTCATGCTTTGGTTGAGAAGACAAACTTGCTTATGCTTGAGAGTATTATTTATCTGTCTTTTTATAATTTATAAATGCTTCTTGAATTCTGTAATTTTGTGTAAACTGAAAAAATATTATGTGATTTGTGTTAAGATTTACTTTTGTGTTGTTTGTTTTTTTCCTTTGGTGCTTCTGGGTGACCATTATGTTCATTCAAATTTTAGCATAAATGAGTTGGGTAATAAAAATTTAAAGACAATTAAGATCTCATTCTTTTTGGGTCTGCAGCCTTTTGTAGTGTGAATTCACATGCCTGGCATCCCTCTACAAGCCTTTAATTGCTTATATATTCAAAATTATAGGCAATTAAAAGTCAGGCATGTGAATGCTGCATATTTAATTTTATATAAACTAGCTATAAAAATATGATGATATAAAAGCAAAATGCTTGACGTCACTTAACGTTAATCATCTTCATCCGATGGAAATACAAGGAGCTAGAGATTGAAGTTAAATCCTAAAAAGTTACTGATGTTTGATAGATAAATATCAAGCCATCTTCAATGGAGTTTAGCTTTTATGGTTAGGAAAATATATTTATTCACTGCTATGAAGTTGCCCACTTTCATCAATAGCTATGCTTCTTAACTTCTTGTTTAAGTAACATAATCTGACCATTTTAGATCTGGCCGTTTGTGGGTAGATGCTGAGATATTGGTTTATACAAGGTACGCAAAACACAAAGAATAGTATATTTCATCTACTTGAGCTGTTACTTGCCTCCGTTTGGGGCATCTTATCCGCTGCGGCGGCGTTTAAAAATGCCGCCTCACCGTTTAGAAACTGCGCTTGGGCAGCTTATCCGAAAACACTCTTGATTTTTTTACAGGATCAAACCCTGCAGTCCACATTTCTAGATAAGCGGCTCATCTGAATAAGCACAAACTGCCCCAAACGCACCCTTAACTTGAAAACATATTAACAATCTATCAAGAGGAACGAACACATTCAATGGACATAAGTGTCGTGACAAGCTAATATCATTCTAGATACGTAGTTTATATATTCAGGGCCGTTTGAGATCATTATTCGGATATTTATTTTTAGTGTTTTTGTTTCTTTGTTTTATTTATGTTTTTGACTTGAAACAAAACATATCTATATGTGAATATAAATCAATCTGTTTTAAAAATATTCAAAATATTTTTTTTAAATTTAAAAAATAAAAACATATCAAATAAATATATTTTTAAAACAAAATAGATCCCAAACACTCTTAAATTTCCTAAATAATGTGGAGGTGAGGAGCATTACCTTATAGGTGGAAGCAAAGTACAAACACAATGCCCTCCACAAAATGTCAAAAATACTTTCTCACATAGAAAACAATTACAAATGCAGAGAGAAAGTGGTTGGGGATTCACAGAACTTTAAAAAAGTTCTGATGACTTTACTTTTGTATTAGAATTATCAATTTGAAATCGCGCATTAAGAAAATTTAATGTGGTTTTTCTTTGTTTCCCTTTAATACATTGTTACCTTGACCGGAGGGATGAGAAGGAATTCGACTGATGAGGAGTATCAGCGTAACACCGATAAGGGCACCAGAGAGGTGGGCTATGTGATTCACATTCTGTAAAGAGTACCCTCGGCCGAGAGGACCTGTCAGCCTTGTGGATGCCTGTGCTGCTTCCATAACCTGGAAAAGATATGTCCAAGTTTTTAATTATTAATATGCTAGAGTCCTGAAAATCAATGCCAATCACATATCAAACGCAGAAAAAGAGAATTTTGAGGATAAGTGAAGGTTTGTTATTCGATGGTAAGTAAGAAAATCAATGGAGCACTGGTCAGTGAAAAAACTGTCATATTTATGAAGAGGCTAGCTTTACAAAAACATTTTGGTGGAGCCAACTTAGACTAGTAGTTGGGTGTTTATCTTCAACCATAACTTCTTGAGTTCAGGGTTAAGCACATAAACATATGTTAGCAGCCCAAACAAAAACATTAAACAGAATTAATATCAGATTTAGTGTTAACTTTCTTTCATTTGAGTGTCGAGAAAATATCAAAACAATCCCTCGCTCTATATAGGGGGTATTTTAGCCCAAGAGTCTATAAAAGTGGCAATTTAATCCCTGATTCTTTTAATGTTGGCTAAAATAATCCTCCTTGAGACATACTCCTATTAAGAAGCATGGGAACTAATTTGACACATTGACAGACTTTTGGACAAAAATGCCCTTAGTAAAGAGTCAGAGGACTATTTTGACATTTTACTTGTTAAATATTTTATTTAAATATAATAGTTCAATTTGTTCATATTTATGTGAATATCCATATTCCAAGAGAGCAGGCCTGTCATAAACCAGAAGCTGCTAATACTTACCTTTACAGTAGCAAGCATTGAGAAACTATTTTTTAAAAACCTTCCTGAAAATGATAACCTCGACAGACTTCAATTTGGTTTGTTAGTTTTCCAATCGATATACAGATTATAGTGAATGAATAGATTAATAATTTAAACCTTTGTGAAAGATAAAATTAATTTCTAGATCACAATGCAATCAAAATGGAATAAAATCTAACAAAAATATAAATACATTAAATTTTCGAAAATTAGAACAAAAATGGATATTTTATCGGATTCATGATAGAAAATACAAAGAATCTTCTAGTAAGTTAGTTGATCCATTACCTTATCAATAACAAATTGGCCAAGGATAAGAACTTCAAGAATTTTTCTCCAGTCCCATGACATCTGCAAAAATAATTATTGTGCTTTAATTCGCTCAGACAACCAATCATCTTAACCACACATTTTTTGGTAATTAACCTACCTTTACCAGGACACTAATTGCGAAAAGGCCAAAGACAGCACCTGATGCTCCAACAGATACCGCATTCCTCGAAAGGACAAACCATGAGACAAGATTGGCACCGGCACCGGTTAAGATGTAAGAAAGCCATAATGCCAAATTGCCCTCCTCCTCTTCAACTAGTTTCCCTATAAAATAAATAATTAACCAAAAAGAATGTAAATGAAGAATAAAACCTGATGAAGAACAAGAATTTGCTCTTACCAAATATATATAAGAAGAAGAGGTTGCTGGATAAGTGGTTCCTGTAAAGTTAAGGTGAAGTCAGTGCCTAAGAGAAATGAAGTTGACGCAAACTTCCAAGTAAGCAGATAAAGAAATGTTTTACATATAAACATTGAAAAGCTTGAAGGTTTTACCAGTTAAAGTGGCAAAATGCTGAGGTTATAAACTGGTACCAAGCTGGCCGGCTGTGGTACAGGTATAAGGACTTGATTTCTCTAATCTGAAAAGAGTGAACGAATATAGTCTGTAGATCATGTTCGTCTAAAAACCTCGTAGGACGTAGCAAGCATAGAACAAAAGAATTTCACAAAACGTTCCTGCTAACATGGAAGAATTAGTGGTATATCAAATGCACTAATCTTTGAAAATGTTTAAACAATCTCCAATTTGACATAGGATATAAATGTAAAATCAAAGGAATGAACATAACCTACAATTAAAATCCTATCAAAGAACTTATCCTCAACACAAGTCATTCATGTTTAGCAGCTATTAAGTTTAATAAAAATAAAATATATAAACTGTTAAGTTCAATAATGAGCGTCTGGTAAGACAGTTTAAAGTTCTACAAAATCGTCGTTTCACTGGCTACCTCAAAATATGCCAGCAAGATTTTAGAAGAATCTATTTCTCCAATGATCAAAGTCCTTCACCTCAACTCATACAAGGGACTAATTGAACTGGATGAACACATGATTAGTTTTAAGGACATGATGCCCTTTTAAGTGGTTTTGGATGCCAAAAAAAATTTTCATTCTTCTGGTTATTTAAATTCATTCCAGCCAATATTGTCTCATTCATTAAGTCCCATTAGCAACAAACCACTCACTTTTAAATTTATAGAAGTCTCATAAGAGCGATAAGATTCTTCTCTACCTAAGATACAATAAGTTGAGTTTTTCTCCGAGCACAATTTTCAATTCATAGGGGAAATGTTAGACGGCTTTAACCAAAATGCTCCAATTGCAAAAATTAGCCCTCATCTAAATGCTCTAAGATAGTCCCTTCAAGGATAGGACTATTAAAGAAGGCTAGGAAATATATAAATGTAGAGGAGTTTACAAATGGCTCCAAAGTACCATATTCCCTCATTAAAATTAGTTCCTATTGAATAGAAAGAGAATAAAAAAGTAATCGACAATTATGGTGACTTCAAAGGCCACCTAGAAGGAGAAAACCAGTTAGGACAAGTGACATTTAGGGTTTTTCCATTCCTTCATCATATGGATCAAGTTGAGTTTCACCCTCCTAAATCAATTATTACTAATTATGATTGAAAGGGCTTCTGTTTGAGCCATGCTTGAATAAGTAGAAGCAAACCACTAAAAAGAAGAGCAAGCTACGGGGAATCCCAGTCATTGGCATAAACACAATAATAGTTGGTAAAGCAAGTAGAAAGGTTGCTTGCTGCACGAACTTATGGTGTGATGAGTTCAATAAGGTTAA